TCGAAACTGGTGAGAACCCAGCGGCATGGCTCGACATCGATGCCATTGATGATGAGGAGGAATCGCCATATGAGGAGGTCGTGCCAGAAGAACATGAAGAAGAAAGCGCACCTCATGGCGAGCAAGGCTCGGCCGCCATCACTGGCGAGCCCGAGCCTGAGGCACCCTCATCGCCGCCGGCAGCCGGTGCTGATGCAGGCCACGTTGTGTGCCCTCAGTATCTTGCAGACCAATACCACGAGTACACGTACAAGATGGCCGAGGTCGATGGCGCCTTCCAGCAAGTGGTCCAGCTTGGCGACAAGCAATTGCCGCTCCACTTTGCGAGCGGATGGGAGCTCAATGGCGGGCACCTTTTCTTCGCGAAACCCCTCAAGGATTGGCTCACCCAGTTATCCAAAGTTGTTCGACAACATGACCAATATCTGGGCCTTGAGGTTGACGAAGATGGCTACGCAGACTTGGACGAAGTAGCCAGGTGTTTCGGCCTGAATCACCGCAGTGCCCCGCCGCTCACCGTCAAAGACTTGATCGCCATAGCAGCAAAGGACAAGAAAAACCGATTTGAGTTTTTGGGCATTCGAGAAGGGCACAAACTCGAGGAGAAGGGCGTGGCACTATGGCCTCTGAAGATGCGCGCCGCTGCTGGCCAAAGCAAGCATGCGATCAAGAGCGCACAGGACAATTACAGATCGGCAGCCCTGATGTACTGCAGTCCTGCGCTCAGGCCAGAAGCCAAAGCTCCCTTCATTGGGAAGCCCATCGCCAAAGCGGATGAAATCCCTGCCTTGGCCTACCACCGCACGAGGCCAGCGTGCTGGAAGCGGATCGTCAAGGAGGGCCTTATCCCAGGCGGGGGCGAGTTTGTTGGCAGCGATCGAGCCCATGTCTACCTGGCTGCAAGCCGCATTACGGAGACCGACTATCAAAGCGGTCTCCGCGGCAAGCACCCTATTCAGCTTACCGTTGCACTTCGGGAAGCAGTCGATGGCGGTCTCATCTTTTTCCAGAACCGCTCCGGTGGGATCATGACGGTTGACACGGTACCTCCAGAATCATTGTCTCCGTCGAAAACACCGAAAGCCAGTCCACACTCTGGACCAGGGTAAGCGCCGTTGGCCTACCCGAGGCTGCTCCAGCGGATGGAGGTGAGAGCCGGGCCGCCATCACTGGCGAGCCCCGGCCAACCGCAAAAGCAATGCCTGTTTCCCTGACGGCAACCAGCAAATCGGCACCAAAAAGCAAGGCTGCACCTTCGACTCCACCTACTTCCGTCGTGAATGTGGCAGAGCGAGAGCAACCTGCAGCATCTTACAGTGGGTACGCTCCGCCCGAGCCTGCGGGGCCTCCACCTGGCTTTGATGCGCCGATCACCGCCCCGACACTTCGAAAGGGACGCAAGCTGACGGTGATCCAGGTCGAATGCAGCCAATGCAAGGGTCTAGTCCTCAGGGGCATGACCCACTGTGACATTTGTTCAGCCGAACTTGCCACCAACACCGAGCTGCCGGAGGAAGCGGTCACCAGACTCTCAGTTCTCCGAAAGCAGCAGCTTGCGAGGGCCGGCCTCGCTCGCACCGAGTGCCCAGTCAGTGACTATATCAAGGCTGGCCTCAATCTGCGTGTGGTGTCTGCAAGCGGCCGTGGAAACATGAGCCCAGAAGCGATCATGATCCAAGACGCTCGCAGCCGGATGAAGCGTGCAGACAAGTGTGGCTTCCAGAGCATCGAGGATCGCTTCGAGCATGACGCCCAGTTCATGGAACGAATGCTGCAAATGGGCTATGATCATCGGGCAGCGCAGCGGCAGGATTGGCTTTGCCATGCTCACTTGGCGAACCCGCCGCGCAACAAAGCGCAAGTCAGCCTGGGCCTTGGATATGACGAAGATCATTCTCTGGCACGGCTGGTCTACATCGATGTAGCGCCCGATCGATATCCACAAGCCATGGATTACATTCCTGAGCAATGGTGCGTGATCTATCGCACAAACATCCTCTCCTTGCGCGAGTACATCGAGTACCTCAACTCACCCGACTCCCATCGCGGCCTTTTGGCTTGGGACGGTGTGCATCAGATGAGCCAATACTGCGCATTGGAGGAGCTTCGCCAGCTATGCCACGACAACCTCTCCGCTGCCAGGCGTGACGTGGTCAACAAGCAGACTCAAGAGCAGCGCCAGCAGCAGAGCAAGGGCAAGCGCAAGTCCTCTACCGGAGGTGATGGAACTCCAGCTTCAAAGGCAAAGGGAGGTCCGCCACCTTCACCGGTGAGCCCACGTGCATCCGGATCAGCATCGTCCTCGTGGGGATGGAGCTCATGGAACTGGAGCGAGTGGGGCGAGCAGCGGCAGTGGGACCGCCGCTCGTGGGACTGGAGCTCGAGTCGGAGCCAGTGGCATTGGCGTTAGTTGAGCCAAGTCTCAACCTTTTTGCCTAAGCGAGCAGAATTCATTGCATGACATCCATTGTCAATATGTATGCGGTTTTTCCTCCCAAGTCCAAACTTTCAATTTCTTTTGGCGGCGGGGAGTGAATAATTAAAATGCACGTACAGGGCCACGAAGGCAGTGGATTGCTAGCATCCATAACTGCCATGCAACTTTGAGCCGACATCACTGTCGTGCCCTGCACAAGCCCTCGTGCACTTTCCGCGTCCAGCTTCGGGAGCAAAGCTACCTTAGCTGAGGGGGGTGTATTTTCACTCCATGTAATATGTACGCTTTGTACCTTGCACATAGTAGGATGTCATGTCACCTTGACTTCGCAGCTCGCGGCCCAAAACAGGAGTTGCAGCTTAACGGCTGTTTCTATAGTTTCACCCCATCTCAACCCATGCCCTCCCAAGTGTTGGAACAGAAGCCTGTGGACGATTCCACCATCCGACGATCTTGATGGCCAGGTCGTTTGCACGAGAGTGCAGCAATCAAGCTTTAAAGAAAGGAACAGCGAGATCAGCAGTTTGCAGCACGTGATAGATCAAGGTCAAGGCTGTTCCAATGACCACTCAAAAGTGTCATTATATGTCATTATATTGGATTGAGGCCTTCCAAGAAGTCATTTTGGTTTGCTCTGTGGCATTTGCCGGTTCAGAATTTGTGAAGCCAAGCTTACCTCATGCAGCTCTGAGCCGCTGCCGAGACGCGCCACGCGTCGGACGCCAACGTGAGGCATCGACTTCCCGCGACATGACCCCTCGACCTACCTGGTCGGAACTGAGGAGGGGCTGGTCGCAGTGTTGGGGTTTAGGCTCGCAGGGCGGGACTTCCGATGCGAGTTTGCGATCTTTGGAACTGGGTGTGGGTGCAATGTGAGTGAGTGGGTGAAAGGATCCCACTTGGAGTAGCAGGCTGGGGAGCCTTGAGCGACATGTTTTAGGGCACTTATTGATCAGTTGGTTTGTGATGTGATTGTAAGCCAGTCCGTTTGAAGGCATGTGTCAAGACTTAGGGTTCGCTTGCACTGCATCCACCTATGGACGATGTTGTGTATTACGCCAAGATGCAAGTCAACAACATCATAGGTGCACTGTCAATCCTTGGCTGACAGCACAACAATTGAATCTTTCGTGGGCCACATACCCAGAAGACTTGGGATGAAAATCTAAAGATGGATAGGATCTAGGTTGGAGGCCATGGCCATGGCTATTAGGTTGGAGGCCATCGCTAGTAGGTTGGAGGCCATCGCTAGGAGGTTGATTGGATCACATTTCATTTGCAACTCAGAAGAGGTGGCCTTGAACGCTGCCAGGATGGTTTGGTTCATCGGTGTTCCACCTCATACATCGAGCCCAGAGCTCAGATTATGACCTGACGTCAGAGGAACCCTTATGCATGGGGACTTGCACAGATTCTCCATCCTGGACGGCTTCGAAATTGCATAGATCGTGTTGCCATATATTATTTGCGCCGAGAATTCATTTGGGTGTTTCGCAGGCCGGCACGAAGCTGCTCATAGCTTCAGCAAACAAGGAAGCTGTTGGAGATGTGTCATTTGCAAAGACCAGCTTTGCACCCTGTGGACCAGCAATATCTTTGAACACCCGATGGTCACGCCACCACTCCTCCAAGGCAGTTCTTGGATACATACTACGGCCATTCAGGGCCTGTGTACCGAGTCCGGTGCAATCCCTTCATGTTTGAAGCTCAGAAACTCGTGATCTTCTTTGAGGGGTATACATTTGTTGCATTCAGTTTTCCAGAAGTATGCGGTGGCAGGCTGAATGGTTGAAGCATTGCAAATGAACCGTTTTGCTTTGAGTAGTCCGAGCAGTGCCAAACACCAGGAGGTGGAACAGACATCACTGACATCACTTGATCGATGAAGAGAGTAGTAAAATGCCCTTGTTACTAGTAGCTTCTTGTTACTAGTAGTAATGGCCTCCAACCTGATAGCGAGGGCCTCCACGTAGTGGCTTCTTGTTATTGGTAGTACTGCCAGGAGCTACTAGTAGCGTCCTTGCTCCTAGTAGCGATGCCCTTTGCTCCTAGTAGCTTCTTGTTACTAGTAGTAAGGCCAGGAGCCCCTAGTAGCGTCCTTGCTACTGATACTGGCCACACTGCACCTAAGGTCCCATGCCTTCCTGACCTGCTCAGCTGCCAGGGGCCTCAAGTGTCGCGTGGTGAGGTCCTGGCTTGACGGTGCGGGCAAGACCTGGGGACGAAGGTTATGAGCATTTTGACGTGCGCAGCGCGCATAGCACAAGTTGTGCAATTAATCATTCTATTGGGGTATCTTTCTAGCAATGTGTGCCCAAACGGGCTAATAAGCTGCAGGCTGAGCAGCAGAGGAAGAGATATAGCTTCACATATGCTTCCCCAGCGGACGAAGATGCAAAGCGGTTTGCTTCCTACAGCCACACCCCTCAGCTGCAGCACTCTTCCAGGACTGGACCATGAAGCTTTGGACCACCAAGCCTTATCACGGGCATCCTCCAGAAACGTCCCTTGGCGAGGAATACTGATGCATTGCTTGCGGGAAATGTTTCTCACATCTTCTGACATGTCGGAGATGGTTGAAGAAGGTGGATCGGCGATCTTCCAGGACTCAGGTGTGAGAGATCTTCCGCTACTGCGACCGGTCTTTCCCCCTTCGCCCCATTCCAGACCAGGCAATCTAAGCAAAACATATTAAAACATATTAAAACCTATATGGCATGACATCAATCCTATGAAAGTTCATGGTCGTAAACTCATGGAAATGTGGAGACGGACTCCCTTGCCCACGTGCGCACCAATAAACAACCAACTGGCTGCTGCAAACTTTCGAGTCCAATCATCAAGCTTTTTAAGCGCAGCACGCAACCTTTTGCCACTGCCTGTTTGATTTTTTGCACTATTTTTTGCTTTGTTCATTGTTCACGAGTCTATCGCTGATTCTTCCGGAGTAGTTGCCACGTTGGGTTCTTGTATTTGTTTTGACCCCACTGGGCCCCGACAAGATCTATGAGCTTTTTCGCTTGGGTTGTTTGATGTTGTTTGCATCCGGTGGCACTTCACATGCCCCATGTATATTTACATGCTGCACGTATAATACCACACACGTTCCACCATTTGGGGTTGGGATGCCCAACTTGGACGACTGGTCACTGAAATTGAACATCCCTGTGATTCCCCACAAGGCCATTGCTGACGTTCCAGTCCACTGACCTCTATGACGCTGTGAATGATGCCAGGACCTTGACCATTTTTGCCATGTGGTTGCGGTGGGGCCGAAGAAACAGCTTGACCCGAAAGAAACTTGCAGAAATAACAACAGACAATAGATTAATTGACCAACAACCACTTTCAAATCTTGACAATGATGCCTTCTTTAGATTCGCCTCCAAAACTCAGCTGGTTTTGGAAGAATTGGGCGGGCTTTTTGTAAACGGTGAGCGGGGCTGCAACCGAACATGCAGAACCAGTCAGGTCGAAGGATCAACTCTCTGTGTCGCAACGACTAAGGAACTATAAAGGATACAACGACCAACTGGTTGTTGGAACCAACTTCCCATGGGAAGACAATACAGTGGCTCAGTACTTCATACTGGTATCTGGGCACAGTGCAAATATGGCCAACAAGATCCAACGATATCCAACGAGTATAACAGACGCAAGTCGACTTTGTTCACACAAATTCCCCAAGTTGGAGTGGGATGAGACTATAATTAGATGTCCCACCAATTAGCCTGACCATTGGTCGGAGAGAGTGGGCATGGTCAAGCCAAGCAGGTGGTGTGGGCGCCACAAAATTCCACGTCCTTCGCAGCAGCAGGGAGCTCAGAACAAGAGCACGGTTTTTCGAGACCAGATGCTTGTGGCCCTGCATGACCCTCACTATTGCCGTTCCCTGGTGCGGGTTTGGAGAAAAATTGTTTACATGGTGGACACCAAGCCATTTATGTGCTGATTTGTGAGATGGTGATGCCAAGGGCACCAGATGTTTTGTAGGACGATGGCTTTGAGAAGGTCCGTGTTCCGTATCTATGCTCGTGTGCAAGAGTGTAATTCTTCTTTCGATGCCAATGGTAGCTCTGCGAGAACCCTTTGTTGAGCAAATTCCTACTATGCTGGATGTTGCAACATTCAGCACACACGTACTTTCTCTTAGGACCACACACACACACACACACACACATATATATATATATACATATATATATATAGATATAGGGGTGGGTAGGATGGCGTACCCTCAGGCCCTCAGTTTGGCCACGCTGTCGAGGCAATGGACGATGGCCGCATCGAGCTCTGGGATTTAGCCGAAAAGCCGCCACTTGGACGACCAATGGGCATCTTCCAAGGGATGTCCCCATGAGCCAGCTGGGCATCTTCCAAGGTCCCCAGTGCTTTTCGAGGTGCAAGCATTAATCACTCCTTGATTCCTTGCGCTTGAATGGGTGGTTTAGATGAGGATCCCCAGTGCTTTCACACACATACACATTACTCCCCATGAGTGCACTACTGGGCTGCTTCTTATTGGGGCCATATCATCAGTGGCGTGTGTGGGTTAGGGAGGGGTGGTTTAGGCCCACGTGACTTCAAGTGCCCAATTGGAGGAGACAATCTTCAAGGGGTTGAGCAGAGGATTGTGCTGCAGAAGCTTCAGCACCTACTTACCCATAGTATCCTATAGTAGCGACTTTCTCCTTGTGGAGAGGCCGGTCCATCGTGGAAGTCCAGCCATGCTTTTCAACCGTTCCAGAGGTGCCGACGCACAGGCGGAGTTGCGACTGAGGCTAGATCCCATCGTGGTCCACTATCCGCAGGTGTGGCCTCCACAGTCGGGCGCGGCAATGGTATAGACTTTTTCGAGCATTTTTTAGATAGGATCTGAGGGCGATTAAGGCTTGTCCCACCCCCAGCCACTCACAGTGAGTGCAATTGTGTCACGATGGTCTCTTGAAACTTCTGCAATTTGAACCCGCTCAGGTAGGCAGCAGGTCAACTTCTAGTTGTCAACATGTAACATTGCTGGATAGACATACCAAAGACTGATGCATGAGTATGCATGAGCTGATTTTTGTTGCATGTATTGACCAACCAGTAGACAACCAGTAGAGAAACATGTTCGTTCCTCGAAACAGCTGAGAAGCTTCTGACAGGCTGAGAAGCCTCAGCGGCGTCGCACCTGTGTGCGCTTCTCTCCGAACTCCCCGGTGCTGGTTGCAGGGGCCTTGGGAGGGCGAAGGAATGCGAAGGACGAAAGGCGTTGGGCAGGTTGGATGGGTGTTTGACGAGAGCTAACATCCTGTCAGAAGGTGTGGTGATTCTCTGGCTGATCTCCCCCCAATGCCAGAATTCAGAGGGTTTTTTGTTGAGTCTTGGTGGAAGGAGGTGAGAGTTTTTGCCAAGTTTGATCAACATGTTGCCGCTGAGAATGTCGAAAGATTGTAGGTCAGGCACCCATGCAATGGCGTTGAACTTATTTTGAACCTGTTGATCAACGAATTGTCCACAGTTGGCAGTTGACAATCATGAACCGCACCATCACCAAACTTACCTGAAGAGCCAGAACGCTCGATTCTCGGTTCCAGCCTGAACTTAGACAAATCCGAAAGCAAAGCATAGCCAAGTCGAATGGACCTTAGAATCATGACACTTTGCAGCACTTTGGACACCTTCACCCTCTTCCTTTAGCCATCTCCCGCTCTTTTGCAGAAAACATTTGTTTTTATGAAACGGAATGTATATAGTTAGTTAGAATCTTGAGCCCAAGATCAGGAGCAAGAAGGGTCCACTGATAATATAACAACAATATATATATATATACATATCATCATATATCATATATACAGTATATATTATATTTTTGTTTGTCTCAAGCTTAGCGCCATTTGCAGGCAAGTTACCACTTCAGGTTTGGGCCATGGGAAGCTCCTCTCCACGAGCCGACCGCTGTGAGCAACAGTGGTGTTTGTGGGTGGTCCGCATTGTTTTTGCTGGCATATGCTTGCTGACCTACAAGTACCAGCGACGCGTCAGACCTATGATTGAGCAGGAATGTTGAGTAAGTCCTGTTGGAGATCCACGTGTTCTCACGACCTCCTTGGGATATGTGGAGCACGCTGCAAAGCAACACATTGCTTGTCATGGTTTGTGGTTTGGTTGTGTCATGGATTAATTTTGTTGTTCCATATATTTCTACACGGATGCCAGGGATTCACTTCACCGCAGTTTAATTTAATTCCTCCAGAAAAGCAACAAACCGTGTGTATGTGTGTCTTTGTGGGGTTGGTCCAACCTCCTGCGGAGCCCGCTATGGGTAATACCCTTTCAGAAACAGATAGAGAGGCAAATCAAGGACCTGTGCTGCTAGAATCGGTGCCTATGCTGCATCAGCTTCTTGCTCAAATCTTCCAATGCAGTGCGGACAAATTCATTTCTGGCCTCACCTGAATTAGGAGTTTGCTGACTAAGGGACAATATTCCGGCGACCTGGCGCAATATCTTTTGCATTGTTTGGAGTGACAAGCATGAAACCCATGTTTAGGACTTGCAGGGGCTTCCCCATCGTCAACAGTAACAGATTTGGGTCGGGTTTGCTGTGCTCCACCTGGTCAGCCGAACTGGGGCAGCCTCAGCCAAGGCAACAAAAGTTGCTGAAGACTCCAGTGAGCTGCCCCTCCTCTGAGAGTTTCGACAGCTTCTGGTTGCTGATGAGGTATTTTGTAATGATCCTGAGCTGCACACATGGATGATGTGTCCCAATCCGCTGATGCAAATATATATATATATATGTGTGTGTTTTTTTGGCGGGGCTCGCTAGTGGAACTGGTTGACTGGAACGCTGACAACCATTCCTTTGAATCTCCGTCCTCAAACCCCAGCATGTTTGCATGCGATGCACCCAGCATGCATCCCCCAGCAGCGACCCTTGGAAGGTGTTATTTTGCCCTGGACCTTGGAAGCTGCTTCTTCTGCGCCTGCAGCAGCCGCTGGCATAGGCAGAACATCTCTCAGCTCGGACGGGCTTTGAGCCTTCTGGGTGCGATCTTCGCGCTTTGGGGCTTCTGTGGTTGCACGAAGCCATGAGTATACTGATTGTCCATTGCATGACGCCCTCAAGGTAGAGCAGTGCCATGCACAGACGATTTCTACAAATTACTGGATGAAGTGGAGTGAGTTGAACCAAGAGGGGAGAGAGAGAGAGAGAGACTTGGAAGAATATAGTACGCGGACTATAACAGACCTTCCTATCTCGTTCGGTTGGTGGTTGAGGAGCGGAGAACCTCCCTGTGGCAGTTTTGTAGATTGGGGTGAGGCCTGCAAAATCTCAACCAAAGGATTCTGAAAGGTCCATGCCTTGGGTCTGTCCTATTTCCTGTTAACAGTCAGTAAACAACTATCACTATTCTAGAGAAAGGCCTTTACTAGCCATCATCATCCACTGTTAAATAGGATGGATCCAATCTATGCCTATATGCTTGGTGTTTAGTCGGTGACCGATTGATTGGATAGTCATGCTGGATTGGACTTGGTTGAAGTTCCTTGGATGCTGACACAAATGCATTTAGTGTCGCGTCACCACGTTCGGGCAACAAAACATGTGTTCAAGCACCCGGGCCTTAAAATAAGGATAGCCTATCGTCACTGTGAGTCACCCAACCGGTGTTGACGGCTGTGGAAGAGGGGGATGGCCACTGCTCTGGCCGTGGGTCTTCTTGGGCATCGCAGACCAAGAGAGCTTTTAGCCCAACAGTGCCGACAGAGTCGTACAGAGTCAAGACTTGGGCCTGCCCAGTCAAAGGATCACCTTTAACATTGTTTTATGCATGGTTTTCCCCACTCACAATGGACAGATGGAAAAGGGTGAACCCGTACTTTTCGAGGAAGACTGATGGAATGTGTCGGGGAGGCTCACAACATACAAACTTGTGTTTTTCCCAAGGTCTTGTGAGGGGGCCACACGGCCAAACACGCATCATGGCAGATTCCCGCTGATGCCTTTGGCTTTTCACCCCCGCAGACCTGGTGCATCCGGGTTTGTTCGAAAGCCCAGGCCTTTTCCTTTACGGACGAGCTTTCACATATCACATACGACTCTCAGCTTTCTTTAAGTTAAGGGTTCATGGCCGTGTGGTGGAGTCGTCCTCCCCTACATGCGGACATGTGGGCACCTAGACAGCTGTTGAGAAGTAGCTGGAGTTTGAAGTTAAATCTTGGTTTACATGATGGGGACCGAGGGGTTAGGCAGCTTCGCCCTTCGGCGGGGAAACAAGTGCTTGAACTTCATCCGGTTGAGGCCCGAGGTCGGGAGCGTGGATGTCCGGAGAACAGATTTGTTTGTACATGTTTGTGCCATGATGCCAATCCAATTAATTCAGCTTTTCGGGAAACTAGGGAGGATGGGCTTTGGCTGTTGAAACGCTGCAGTCTTCGAGGCAAGCTCTCATGAAAGGATTTGCACTTCTTGGCTCCAATTCAGATCCTTTTCTTGTCCCAGCTTGCTTCCCCAAGACCTGACAATATCATGAATCCCATGCTGTGAGTAGTGACACGAAGCAGATGCTTAGATGTTCAGGATCATGTGCATCCGTCCGTGTCGGTTACAGCATGCCTGAAGCGTGCTCGACCATTCTGATGGTTCGATGAAATCCTCCAGGATGCGTGGGCATCTTTGGGGTGGTTGCCCTGATTTGCTGCTTCATTTTCCTTTGCTCGAGCTTCATTTGGTGCCTGGCTGTGGAATGCGACTTTTGTATCATAGAGCCCGGCTCTGAGGATGTGAGTCGCACCTTGGTTGAGCTGAAGAGATATCCTTTCATGACATTTCAGATTGGGGCAGCTCTGGCTCTCTATTATATAAGCTAAAGTGCACTTGGCAATTTTGTGGCTCTGGGATGGCCAAGCTTGTCAAAATTCCTGTCCTTCCAAACCCGACATGTTTTGACCCTTCCGATCTCCGCTCTCAGGACCTTGGAGCTGTAGCTGTTGCCTTCACCTGGGCGACTTCTTTGGCGGCCTGGATCCCTGGCCACGGCCGCCACCCCGACGGGAGAAGGACCTTGAGGCGGGCGAGACCAGCCCGATGCACCGGGACGCCACGACTTCGGTGCCGCGCCGGTCCCCGCCGAAGCTCAAAAGCAGTCCTGGAGGCTTGGGTGGATGGGAGGAAGGTTGGGCTTGGGGGAGGAGTATGGGAATTAGAAGGAGGTTTAGTTGTTTTCCTTTCTCCCTAACTCTCCGGAACGAGTGAAGACCAAAAGGGGGATTGCACGCATTCTTCCTTTTGGCCAGCCGAACATTGCCATTTGCCGAGCGCGCGGAGAACTTGTTGGATATTTTCTGTTTAGGGAGGTGCTTCATAATATTGTTAAGGCATTTTATTAGGCTTTCGAGGGGATGCGTGCTTACAGGGTCCTCACTCTTTAGCTAGAAGGCGGCAGTTATTGTGATCATTTGGTTGCTGCATGTGGACAGGAACCTGATTGACTATATAGGCAATCTATATGCAATCTGTATACCTCCAGGTCACATGCGCTAAGTTTCCCTATATAAAATCTAGGAACCAAATGATTAGTGCGAGCGCTTCCCTGAAGAAGCGTGAGCTATGCGGCGTCCTAAGTAGTAGCTACTTAAGCTACTAGCTACCAGGTAACCTCCCTCTTCTACCGGCCTACCCCCCTTAAACAAACAGAGCGAACAGAGCAATGCACGTCTCGGGTATTTCACATCTCGGGTTCGTCAGATTTCAGTGTTGGGAGCCCTTCAGAAAAGCTAAGCAATGCAGGTTGAGCGAATTGTCGTGTGCATTGCGAAGCGCACAGATAGAGATGGTACATTATAAAGCGACGGTTGGCATTCAAAAGAGGTGGGTTCATTGTGTTTTGGGGACTTCTAGACTCCCTCAGCGTTTGATCACGACTCCTTCGGATTTTGGGGGACCCTTTTTCCCCTCAAGGGTCGAAGTTCAATGCCCCGTGTTCTTTAGGCACCTGGACGAGCTGAGGCAGCAGTGGCAAGGACGAGAGCAAGATGACCTTTCGAGTTCTCAGTCGCCCCTCGGCCTTTCGACATTGTCGGAGAATCAAGACCCTATGCAAAGCCGTTTGCAACGACTTTCCCACCGAAATGGTATACAGTATGTGTTTGCTTCAGGTTATGGGTCGGGCCTATTGAATTTGAATGGTTGGGGACATGTTTCTGGCCAGGCTGCCCAGGCTCACTTGGAGTTCTGTGATGACAATGTTTTTACTTGAACGTGGATCCCATACGGAGATGATTTGTATGTTGCTGTGTGGTCGGATTTCAGTTTTTTGGACGGCTGATTGCCAAACAACAGATTTGCAAATAACAGTGGCACCATAGTTGAACACAAAAGGCACACATAACATATCACAAAAGTATAAATACACACACACATATATATATATACATACAGTATATCAAGGAATTATCAAGACATGTAGGTTGTGTATACTTAATTGATTAGGTAACATTATCGGCAAGTCTACACAAGGGTTGAACCATGTTGAACCAGTTGCTGCTGTACCCTAGCCACCGCTGAGCCAGATTTGTGATCAAGCAATTCTTTTCTCTTGTCTCTTCTGTCCAAGTTAGTTTTCTGCGGTCCAGTCTGGTGGTGAAATCACCAGGTGATGGTGTTGTGGTATTTGCTGCCCGAAGCCGACAGGCGGGTGTGTCGATGTAAACGGGTCCAGCAACGCCGAATTCGCTTCCAGCCGCACAACATTGGCAGATGTTCCACTAATTATCTTTCATGCTTTGGGTTCAAACTTTGGGTCATTGATCAAGTCATTGAGTAAGCGAGGAGCCCTTGGGGGTTGTGAACAGCACCAGCACGCAAACTGTAAGGTCGTCCACGGCCAGGAATGTGTATCCTTCGACTCACTGACATGGAAGATCATGGAAGTGGAAAATAGCCTCACGGAAGACTGCTTTCCTTTACGATCAGGGGAGTCCTGTTAGTGAGTGTGTATACATATATAATACCAAAGCACGAACAGTTGGTAAAGAAGAAGCCGTGACAGCACGGTGAAAAGCATGAGCACACCAAGAACATGGACCTCAACTGTTTTCTCGGGTAAGCGAGCTGCTGGGCTGCCAGGACTATTTAGAACACAAAGAGAAAACAGAGAAAGACTAAGGACACGGGATATGGGTAAACATCTGAACCGTTCTTGATTTAGCGAAGTTTTCGTCCGTCAAAGTTTTTGGTGAAGTATAGATATATATATATATATGTTGAGGGAAGGAAGCTAGCTCCGCTTGTCGTGGTGGAAGATCAAACTGCCTACCAGTTGGACCCTCGTCGAACCCCCCTAGATGAGCAACACAGACTACTTTCCAACTCACTAACATGATGCTAATATGGAAGTGAAAAATGGCCCCTGGAAGACTTGGCCTTGTACAAGCGGGTGGTTATACTTCCATGGAACATGAGGGAGTGAACCGGCCATTGTCACGGTCCAGGCTTGGACCCACAGCCCTATGGCATTCATTGGACTCGCCCGACTTGGCCGTGTGTTCCACTGCTTGTGGCGGTAGGCGATTAAGAGCTGGGTCAAGCGGAACCTGGACCGAGAGAAGAGGAAGGGCGTCCTCATTGAGTCTCAGATGATGTGAGGTGGGAAGGGTTGGTGACAGAGATGAGTGGTTTTTTCATGCGATGTGCAGATGGACGTGCATTTGTTCCAGAGCCGTCCTGAGGCGCACCTGAGATCATACAATCAGGGATACTTCAAGGTCCACTGGATTCATACCATAGGGTGTACAGCTTGCCCCTTTTCCAGGATCGTGGCTTGTGACAATGGATCCAGCTGACCGTACATTCTGATGCTTTTGCCAGCCCAGCTGAGGAAGAGAGGCCCAAGTCGCGGCGGAGCTTCAAGAAGCGGATGTCTCCAGCCACTCAGCGCAGTGACATGAGCTGGTTTGGACGGTCCTTCCCTCAACTGACAGGTTTCCAATATGCCATCGATTTGGTTATGAGGATAGGTCAGGGGATCTGAGCACCAGAGACTATACTACCGCCGTTTGTCCCAAAAAAAGGTCAGTGTTGATCACCCCTCTATACTTAACATTACTTAACATGCCTTAACATCCCAGCCAGCGAGGGATGATGAGAGATGCAAACTGAGAGCTCATGTTAGACACTATTTTTGTGACAAGCACTGCGAGTGTCCATGTCGCATGGCTTGCTATTCTTTGCTGTGAATACTCCAGGATGCTTGTAGTCGCCCCTCCCATGTTCACCTATGACGTTTGTCGAGATGTGTGTGGGGCCTGTGTCCACTTGCAGTAGTTACCCTTTTCCCAGGTTCTTGATGATTTGATCCAAGCAGCTTGTGTCTCCCCCAAGCTTGGAGACACACTGCACCACCAGAGAAGAGCAAGCATCAACATCTCCGAGGGATGGAGCTTTCAAGTGACACAAACGAGACTTTTTCAAGACGGCAGGTTATGACAACTGATTGTTGTGTCTTTGGCTGTCACGCGCCTTAAGAGACAGTACCGCATTCAGTGCCCCATGGGTGAATCTAGAACCTCAGTGGGGCCAGATACCTCCATGTAGCACTGAATCGGATGGGCCAATCAGGTTAGCAGGTTAGCAAGACAGGATCTTAGAGGGATGAACTGGAGTAAAGAGCTGTACTTCCGCGCCAGGAGGTCTTGAACATTCTTGAACTCTTTGACGCCAATGCAATCCTGACATGGGTGGGGCTAGCTCTCTAGAGAGACATCATTAGATTTAGATTCAAATGATTTCACACGTAAGTCGTGTTGCCAAGTGTTTTCTCCTTAAAACCCGACTGAGTTCAAAACGACATCGAGCTGCTTTCGGTGTGTTTAGGTTATGGATCGACTCGTTACCACTGGAGGCCGGCAGCCGCCCTTCCGTGAGAAGTGACCGCAGTGACCTGTGACGTTGAGCAAGACTTTGCGACATCGAGCAGCAGGAGAAAAAGGGAGATTGATTGGCCGAGCCACAGAGATGGACAAGAGATGAGAAATGATGAGAACAAGAGATGGTCGTTAAACGCACGATGCTGGCCGTTTGTGGATAGAGCTGATTGTGAAGTTGGGAGTGGAGGTCAATCGGATGCTACATGGCACATGTGTAGTAGCCGATTCAGTTGTTCCTGTAAACTTTAAACCTTTGCTGAATCTCCTCTGGGCTTGTGAGTGTTAGAGTGGACGGGATTTTGCCTATAGATCGTTTTGGATTAGCCCACGTTTCAGCTGAGACTAAGACTTGATCAAACAGTGTTCGACCTCTTCCCACGAAAGGTGGAAGCAACGCCACCAAACAATTTCTTATCTCCCAGTCGCCAAGGCCGGGGATGACCAGGGCAGTGTGGACGTCATGAGGATGTACAACACCAACCAGCGCGGGCGCCTTTTGAGCGTCTCTCTGGGAGATCCTTCGGAGATCGGGATGTGGCAGCCTCTCAGTCAACACGATATTGGTACAATAGTGGTTAGAATCGGTGCAATCCTAAATCAAGATTCAATAAGATTAATGACCCCAAAATCTATCGAAAACAAAGACTGCATCTTGCACCATTGCCTGCTTCCTCTCATTTTCAAGCCCAACTTTAATCTCATTTGTTGATCCAGACCCTGGGAAGTGGTCTCGAACTCCAACAACAGATGAGATGCCCTCGAATTCACTGGTGAGAGAGAGAGAGAGCTGGGTAACAGGTCGCGGTGTGGGAAGATGCCCATCCCATGCTGGAACGAGTGGAGGCACACCCGACCAATCGATTAAACTGATATTATTTGGCTAAATGTCAAACCCCTGCCGCTTCCAAAGGCAACAGCCGTGTGTTCTAGCTTTGCTTGAGCTTGCTGGAGGAAATTCCCGCACGCACGCTTTGCCGCTTTGCCCGGCTGTTCGGACCGCTGAGGTCCTACTACTCAGACCAGGAGCAGCAGGACCGCTTGGCAGCAGTCATGGTTAAGAAGCGGTAGATCAAACCCGCTGTTGTTTCACCTTTGTACAGCATGAGGTGCTTCGCGGCACGTGCGAAAACTGTCCTTTACTACCTACCGGCATTAAAAGATCCCAGAGCCAGAATGAGAAGCGTGCACCTCTCACCTTTGGCACGGCTGAACTTGAGGAAATGGCCATCGGACACCCTCCTTTTCGTCAAAAAGGACAAGACGAACAAAGGACCCACTCGGACACCTCTCGACTCGTGCTTGCCTTGCCGTGCTGACTCAGACTTCTCAACGGGGCTGCCGCAATCCCGTTTGCATGACGCGCCCGCAAAATGCGGACAGAAAAGGGAGCTTGGGCCGTGGCCTGGCATAGATGAGAGAGCCCAGCTTACTTAACTCCTAGCAGCCCAGGTTGATTCGCTTGGGTGTCGATGTTCCATTCAACATCCTTCGAGTGCTTTGGCAGATAGTTTAGGGTCTTTGGAATGAATTGGACGTCCTGTTCCTGATAAATTACTGTAAATAGGTCCACACCCGGTGAAAGCTCTGGTGATGCAAGTACTGCTTAGATGTTGCAAAAGCACTGCTCGCATCGCTCGCCTGCTGCCACCACAGCATTTCAGCTTTGACGTCGGTGAAGGGGCACCATGGACACAACGCAGCTTGGCAGACAAGAGGCTTCGACAAACGACACTATAACATACTATAACGGGGTTCAAAGCTTCACTCGCCAATTCTTGGAAATGATTTTGGCCACCTGTACAAGGGTGGGAGGTCTATGCTTTCTTGGGCTTATGATGCTTATGATCCTGACTCGGGGTGTATCTCATGCAAACAGCTCGCAGCCAGCTTGACGGCAACATGTACTGTGCCGTAGCAGATTTCACCATCAATCTCCAGCAAGGGTGTTCATCGCCTCCACTTGACTTAAAACTTCAAGATATTATATAATAAGCCGAAGCTGGGTATTTGGATGAATCAGTGCTCAGTGGGCAGCATGTGTTGTTCTCATTCTTTGGCGGTCTTGTTTTGAGGTTCGCTCCAACCAACCGCTTCGAGATGTTGGTATGTCAAGGCTGCCTCGCAGCTGTCTCTGAGGAGTGCAGTGCGTGCAGATGTGGCATTCCTGGACTTCTCGCTGCCGAAAGCCATCACGGGCAGGGTTGCCGTTATTTTCCAGTGGATTCAACTCTTCCGTGTTTTCCACAACACCCCCCCACAAGCCAGAATCCCCTTTGTTCCCCACGTGAGCTGCTAGGTTTGTAAGGTCTAACGCTAACGATGTGAAATCCCTCCCAGCTTTGTTGTTTCCAGGAGCCTTGGAAGAGTGGGCCGCGACTGACCGAAAGGTGGGGGAAGTCACAGAATGGAGGGAGATGGGGGGAGCTTTTGGATAGCAATCCACAGCGTGGGGTGACATGGTGGATTAGTTCTCAGCAGGAGCCTAGATGGGTCTAGCGTAGCAAATGCTCAGATTATTTTTTGGACCAACCTAGGATTGCTTTCATGATGTGCAGGTACGGTATAGGGGAACAATTTCCAAATTAATCCAGGGTAGGGTGCCCAGGTGCGGCAGGAAATCACAACCAGATTTTGTTGAGTCAGTGCTGCTTGCCTTGTTGTTTGCCTGGTCCATTCTTGAAGCCTTTTCCTCCTTCTAGAAATATTGTAATATGAGATTTTGTGAAAGCTGGCTTTGGCTCAAAACAGGAACTGGAAACCACCAGTAGCGACTAGGGTGTAGCCATTGTTTTGACCCAGTGCCTCTTTGGGACATCTTTTTTCCGAGCTCGATGTAGTGAAGTGATCTGTTCTTACCGGGTGTGTTTGGAACCAGACTGACTGGTTGCATTTCCAGCGGCTTGATTGTCCTCCGGACTTCGCTGATGTGCAGAGAAAGCGAGTCTGCCAGGAGAAGTCCGATTCCTGGCCGCTCGAGTTTTGTGACTTGGCTCGATTTTCGCGCACCAGATATGGTAGAAATCCACGAAGAAAGAGGTTTGCTCTTGGCCCGTTTGATCGTAGAGGTCTGAGTACAATGCTAGGAAAAAGATTTGGCATGACCCGGACTACCCACGTTCGTCCTTAAAGGATCGCCGATGTCGAACCAGCATCCACTTTGGATGATCACGTCCTACCATCTGCCTCTTGGTGTCTAAGAGACAAATGCCCTCCCCCCAATGCGCTGTGATGAGGTGCTTGTTTGAGACCCTCTACCCTGCATGGCCAAAAATAGGGCACCCTCCAACCACCTCGGCACATAGAAGTTATTACTGGATCTTACGAGAGAATTTACGGATTTCACGGTACTTTTGTTTTTGTTATTGATGCTTGAGCCAAGCATACCGCACATTAGCGCCCAGCAAATCCCCTTTGCTTGCATATCAAGCTCCTCAAGCTCGACGAATCTCACATGAATCGTTTCACCATGATTCGCCTTTGGCGGTGTTTTTGCCCAAAACTCTGGTACAGTGAAGCCATTTGAGGTGCAAGGCTCTTCCAACCTTGCGTCATCCGCTCTGGCATGGTCCGCGTCCCTCCTGGTGGCCCAACGTGCTGTCGGGGGACCTGCCACAGGTTGAGGGAAGCCAAGCTGGAGCGAAATGCTTGAGGAATACAGCTTTAACAATGGTTTAAAATGGTTTAAAGATGTTTAAAGTTTCAGGAATCTGAAGGGTCAGAACAGTCATCATTGAGATCTGAAAGATTCTGAAAGCATCCATCGCGTGATGTGCCAAGTCTCCCTTGAGTGTCGACCTGGACGAAGCCAATCCCCAAGGCCCAAAGGTATCGTCGTGGAGCCGGACGAGGCAGGTGACTGAACAGGGTGATGACCCCACCATTGGGTGAGACATGGTGAGACCAAGACCTTTTTGTGACTCGGTGACTCAGCAGAGGTTTCATATAAGGGAATGAGGCGGGCCAGCAACCTTGAGCATCTTGAGCACTCCGGTTGGGTGATATCTCCACTTGGTGCTGTGAAGATCTGTTGTGGACCAGCCTGGAATAGCTGAGATTTTGGAGCGAAACCTGGCTGTTTCATGCGTTTCCGGTTTCATGATGTTTCGATCTTATCCGGACGGTTCGCCATGTCCAAGCGACTGGAGATACCAAAGGACGCGTGAAGGGGGAACAGGACCGAAGGACCCAGCCATAATGAGGTCCAGTGTGAAAGTGTTTAAAGCAAATTACCTGTGGGGTCAATCCATGTCAACCCCACTACCCATGCAGAAGATCAAACGCCACTCCCAAAAATGGAAGTTCATGGCCATGGGACTGCAAATGGACTAGCCCCAGAGAATATTGGACATTGTTTGGACCTCTACTGTTACAAGTTACAAGGCTGTCAGGCCCTCAGGCTTATGACACCATATATGAAGCTGCTTCGCGCCCCCTGGTGCACGCAGGGCAACGCCACAATGCGCGGCACATGGTGCAAGCATTGAAAGAGTCCGACGAGCCAATGTCCGCAACTCAGGGTGCTGCATTGCGTTGGTGGAGAGCATTTTGCACCAGTCGAACCCCCCCACCAAAAAAAAAAAACAAACAGATGAGGCGGTGCAGGATTTTGTCGAGCCACTGCATTGTGATTCCAGGCTTCTTGCATGATTTGCATGTTCTACACTGCCTCCAGGGCCCCGGAATGAGAGGATCCTTGGACTTCTCGACTTCTCATGAAAATGCAATTAGATGCAAGGCAGACATGGAAGAATGACATAAGCAGAGCTTGGCCGCGGAAAGCGTCATGGCTTGGTCATTGGCTTGATGAGGCTTTCTGGGGTAAAAGGACCTGTAAACTTGGTCAGGGACCCAGGAGATGCCTCACTAGGCAGTCAGACATTTGTTCAGCGAAGAGTCCATACAAACCGTTAGTTCCTTTGAAATCAACGCTTACGATGATGAGTTGTGCCTGGAGGGCACAATGGGCTTTAGACAGTATCAGTGGACAAAATTGATAAACGTTATTGGGAATGGAGCGGGGCTCTCATGTTCAAGCACCATTGTTCAATGAAGAG